ATTTTTTTTTTGAGTTGATTGTTTTAAGGAATGTATACCCCCCTCTGGTGTTATTGTTCACTTTACAGGTTAGTCTATTGTTTCACTGAAAGTTGAGCACTGGGAACATTAGTTCACCTCCAGGCTTACAGGGTGCCTAAGGACCAGTCTTGGGTGTTCCACTAGACTTCGTTATTCTTTAAGATATTTATAAACATTTAAATGAAATTGACAATTAAAAGTATTTTAAGGCCAATCTCAGCTTAGCAATAAAACAGACTCAACAATTTGGACTGCTTTTCCAAATGATGACTCTCATATAGGTAGGTATATAGAAATCCCCAATTTGTAATGGATTTGAGTTATGGTTCATATTTACTTCTGTCCATTTTTGCTTTTGTTTTGTACACCATATCATTAGTAAAGTGTGCTACATAGAGTATTGCAATGTGTATCTTGTGGATGTAATCATTCTCATGCCAATCTCCAAAGACAAATAAAGATCAGCTTTATAACAATAATACTAGGCAATGAAAGAGAGAGTGACTTCAGGTAGATCAAAGTGAACATGTGATGGAGTCGCTGAACTGGAACGTCCTAAGTGAGGGACTACGTATAGAGGTAATTAGGATGATGCTTCTCCAAAATATAGTAAAAATACCAGTTGACTCTAGTAAATTCTTATTCAATATAAGTTAGAAACTTTCAGGTCTCTAAAATAGAGAATATCAGTGTTCTTTCTTTATAGTTGCGTAGATTAAAGCCCCAAACCAAACTCATCACCATCAAGTCAAACGCCAACTCATAGTGACCCTATGGGACAGGGCAGAACTGTCCTGTGAGTTTCGGAGACTGTGGCTCTTTAGACGAGAAGAAAGCTCCTGGGGAGCAGCTTGCAGTTTCAAACTGCTGACCTTGCAGGGAGCAGCCCAACGCCTAAGCACATACACTACCAGGGCGCCTCGGATTAGAGCGCAGAGAAGTCAAAGAACTTGAGAGTCCTCATGCCCCTCATAAGAGCCTAAGCCAATACCTCAGTCTGGACTCACACTTAGGGAGTCTGGCCAGTGGGGGACGTGCCTTCCTTGACACTTTGCATATTTGTGAAAAATGAGATACTAAGCAGTACTGAGAACTTTCTCTTTTAGTTTACAGAACAGATATTATAATGAGGAGAATAGATGCGAGTAATAAGCTACTTAATTCTCCAGAGCTAAATTCATAGCCCACCCCCTCTCATTTGTTTTGTTTTGAAATTAGAAAGGCTAGGGGTTTGGTAATCTTACCATCAATGACTGAGGAGGAGAACAGGAGAAGTGGTCCCATTTTTGGGGTGGGGCTGGGAGGGGGGCAGCGGTAGAGTCCACACTCCTTTCATCTACTTTCCCATGAGTTGGGGAACACGTAATGATGTCCTTCACTGAAGGCAATAAAAGGAACTCCAAGAGAAGTGCCTGTAAGTCTTGTTGTTCCAGAAAAGAAAGACTGACATCTCCCACCACGGCGATGTCCACTTAGCTCTGGTATTTGCTGGTCTGCTTCATTGTTACTGAACTTGGAAAATAAACCCAGGCTAGAAGATGGGCAGGTCAACCAGGGAGAGAGGAAGCAATGACCGCAGTTCGGTGAGTTCTACCTGAGAAGTGGCGAAGTCAGATATGCTGCTCATCTCTGCACTCCTCCGAGTTGAAGCGAACGAGCGAGCGTGGGCATGGAGAACTCCGAGTTATGGGAAACTGCTTCTGCTTGCGCATCGAAGACTGCTTGGTGAAGCTGTTGATGCTTCCGGAGAGGTCACTGAGTTTCCCAAATGACAACTCAACTGGAAAGTTGCCTGAGCTTGAGTCTGGTGACAATTGGTATTTGGTTTTCAACCTATTTAGGCTACATTGCTAGATATAACCAATGGAAAAGGCACAACTACAGTAGAATGGTAAGAAAATGCTTGTTCCTTCTTCCCTGTTTTTGCAACCACCTACCGGAGGATACTAATGGAAAGAAAAGCTTAGACTAGGGTGGTATACGAGAAAGCAGACCATGCCACCATCAGCATCAGGTCACTTTGCTGGAACCACAAGTTTCAAGCAATCACTGTGTTTGAAAGATGCATGGAGGTCAGAATCAAATATGAGGTTCACCTATTAAAGTAGAGAAGACTACTAATACATAATAAAGTTAGAGATTTGAAATGAAATTTTATTAAGGTAGCCTACTGAATAATGGAAAGTAAGGTTGAACAAAGCACATCTGGTAATATTTTTTTAAGATTTCACTTTATGCAATTAATCAACTAAATGTTCTCAAGTCGAGAGAGCTATTAGTAACCCCTTCCAATGAGCTGACTGGGAAATGAAGAAATGCAAAACACTAACGTCTTCTACATGTAAGCCTTCTCAGTCTGCCTCTCCTTTGTAGCCTATCCTGACTTTCTGAACCTGTGCGCACCCTGCATTGTAAGTGGTTGTACTGCTGT